CTATGTGATGATTAAGAGTCCAGTGACCCAGAAGGACGGAAAGCATCCACATACTTTTGGTTAGCCAAGAAAATAAAATATCAGAACTTTTCTTGCAGAATTGTCTCTGTGTTAAGCTTACACCAAACTTCTACAGCACAACAGCTAAAGTAAGTCAAAAATATGTAAGCTGGCTATGTGTCCTGGACATAGAGCTTGCTTTCTGCACTACAAACAAGATCTCATTAGAGCTGCTCTGAGAGTGACCAGGAAATTTCCTCCTCCACCCCTACAAGTTACACTGTTGTTATTTCTGCATATCCATTTTGGTTGGGTTTTCCTAGCCTACACAAGCAAATATCTTCAATCTGTGGACTAAAATACAATGGATGAGCTTGGTGATCCCAGCTGACTGCATCTAAACTACTCTCTTGGCACAAAAGTACAATTTCAGGAAGAGCTGCCTCCTGTTACATGGTTGGCCATGTGGCTTTTGTACTACTGCTCACCACTTGCTTCTGAGAGCCCAAAAGGATTGAAGAGGGAAGAGCAGTGTTCATTCTGCAGTGGGTAATGAGTAAGTCCCACAATACTTTTCTTCTGTTTCTTGAAGTAGAACATGAAAGTTATTAGGTCTTTAATTTGGTAGTTTTACTTGAGGCTTAAAATGCCGAAGGATGAAAGCGACAATTCAGACAAAACAAACTTTTCAATGAACTTGAACTTTGATTAAAAATGCAATAAATATTGCCTTGAAATATTTAGTGGAGTCACTGCTGTCCTTTTGTCTACCTTTCTCCTTTGTCTCTCATTTTTCTGTGCTCTGTTCCTCTTCTGAGAGGATCTCCCACTCCTGACTGAGGGTATTTGGAGGTGTGAGACCTGGAACACCAGAACTTGCCAGGCCTAGCTGTGAGCACCAGGTGGTCACCCTCTGGCCCACTGGTGCCTGCTTCGACTCAGTGTCCCCCTGGGCCTGCAGGAGTATTTAACAGGGTCAGGAGCATCCTCCCAGTTCTGCCAGAAAAGGAAACATTTTTCAGTTATGATCTCTGGAAACAGACAATGGGCATGGCTACCTGAGGGAGATGGGGTGTCCCTAAGAAAGTCTGTACTTCTGCTGAATGTAGAAGTCTTAAATGCTTCCTTTCCAGCATGATGAATACTTTAAATCTCCAACTCTCTAAGTATTTAAGCTTCATTTTCTTTCCTATATCCCTTCCTTTAGCACAGAAAGAAGCAAACTTTGAGACCACCCTTTACTGGTTTCAGTTAAACAATCTTCACATTTCTGACCTTTTTTTTAACATTTGTTTTCTTTTCTGAGTACTCCATGTGGTAACAACCCATCTCAGAAAAATAGACCATATAAATTAATGAGAAAAAATATATTGTTCTGGAATAAACACAGAGACTGAATATTTCAAAAACATCAGTGCATTTAAAATTCAGATTTATTTCTTAACTTGGTTTAACTGGCAGTCCTAAAAACACCTTATTTTTTATGATACATTATTCCCACCAGAAATATTCAAGCTGTCACAGTAGTTTATTTTACAGTTTGCAAACAAACGAACCAGTGAAATAGGTAAAGCAGACTTCACTGGCAGTGAAATCCCATCCACTCACAGCAGCTAAGGCTCTTTACTGCATTTAAGTGTTGTCTAAAGCTTTGATTTCTGGCTGTTATTCTCCCTGTGCTCACATCTGTTCTAGGTACCTTTTCCTACTTACAGATAAGAACATGCAAAAATATTTGCAATATCAGGATGTGATCTGCATTTTCAGTAAAAAAATTTAGACCGGTAAATGTACCTTTCTGACAGTACCTATTTCTAAACTTAAAAATTAGTAATTTCCAATCAAACAAACACACAGCCTTATGACATCTACCCCAGCAGATGTGTTGTTGTGTCAGCTGACACCTGGACTGACCTCTTTGCTCACTTTGTTCCTGCTTTGTGTATTTTTTTATTGAAGTCCACCTCATTCATGGTACTCCTGTAGTTTAAACAAAATGTACCAAGAATCACTCCCCTCCATTCAAATGTGCCAGTGAACAGGACACATTTTTTATCAAATGACTACCACAAACAAACACACCTAAGAATTAATGAAGACATAATAATGAAGTCCTAAAATAAAACCAGGAGAGTTCAATACGACAAGATGACTGCTTCCCATCCTCTAATAATCAATCCTGACAGCTTCCCCATCACAAAATGATTTCTTTGGATTCCTTATGTGCTTAAGCCCCTGATTAAACACCGTTTTGCCTGTTTTCACCATGGTGTTCTCATCAGTTTCTATAAATATTGCACATGTGCGCTCAGTGGTACTGTCTGTAACACAAAACCAGTGGGAGCATTCCAACTTGCGAAGTTATCCATTGGTAACCTGTTTGGACAGAGGTGTTAAGAAAGGTGGCTTTGTTCTTTATTTTTTTAACACTAGATGGCATTGCTTCCTCCCCCCGCCCCCCCAGCCAGGGAAAACTTGAAGATGAAACTTGCCTTGATTTATGTAAGAGAAGAATCAGTGACTTGCAAGTTTTGCTATGACTGTCACCCTTACAAGCACTTCCTGTGAATCTTAACTCTAGAGTGTGCTACCAAGCCTTTGGTTTGTATTCGCCTCTCTGCAGCTCCCATACTTCTCCATGCACCGAGGAATTTATGAAGCACTGCTGGTGGAATGGTTTTCTTCAGGTTTCCTTTAAGTAACGAACGCTAAAGCTGCGGATGATACATACTATGTTGCAGGATATTTTGTTACATAAACTGTCTGTCCTCAGGATGCTAATGAGCATGGATACATCCCTGGACCTTTCCCTCTCCAGCTGATTCTCTTTCATGCCATATATTCAGCTGCAGCAGGAGCCAGAACAAGCTATGAGGCAGGAAGGAACTATACAACCACTTTTCCCCAGGGCCCTTTCCCACAAGGAGAGAGGGGTTGGGTTCCTCTCTTTATCATATAGCAGGAGCCAGAGCCAGTAGGGCATTGTCCAATTAAAATTAAATAGCAGCTGTTGACAGTTGCTTGTGGGCTAAATTGGTTCTGTGGGGAATAGCTCATTAGAGCCGTCATCTCCATGAGGAGCTGATTGTGTCCTACGCGGGCAAAGCGCGGGGGCTTCTAACCTGCCTTGCGGCCACACCAGCATTACGTGCCACGTTCGGGACTGCCACACTCCATGTCACCGGCCAGCCTTTTCTTCCCCTACCTTAGTGCCAGTCTTACTAAAAATTAACCACAGAGAACGCGCCGTTCCCAGACAGGCTGCTCTTCTTCCCCTACCTTGGAGCAGCAGCTCTGGCCCGACCCACAGCACGGCAGGGGAAAGGGCTGAGGCTTGACGTGCCCCCTCTCTCGCTTAGCTCCTTTCGGCGAGCAGAGGAGGCCGGACGAGCTGGCTTCTCCCTGGGGAGTCCCGCTGGACCCAGCGCCGCGGGGCCGGCCCGGGAGCAGCTACCTTGGCTGGCCGGGAAGGGTGAGGCTCCAGTTCGGGGAGCCACAGGTAGGCGGCGGCCTCCTACTTTTCCCAGGTTCGCGGAGTTGGTTTTTTTTTTCCCCTCTCCCTTCCCTCCTCCTCTTTTTCCAGCTCTCGCTTTCCGGGTTGAGAGTTTGGTGCGTTCAGAAAAGTGCCTGCAACGGCGCGGGGTTCCCCAGGTGGAGCTGGTCCGGGCTTTCTCTCCCCTCCTCCTCTGGCTGGCTTTCCTCCTTTGTGGCCGCATCCAGGGCGCTTCAGTCCCCCTCCCACGCTTCCTCTTTCCCTCCCTCCCCGCCTCATCCTCACTGCGGGGAGAGAAAGCCGTGCTCTTTCTTGTCTCCCGGCCGGCCCAGACTCTCACCGCGCCCGCCG